GTTGCCAGCACTGTCTGACGTGTCTGCCTCCGCGACCCGAAAGGAGAAGCGGCGATGGAAGATGGATGAGCGGTGTTCTGTCCTCTCTGTAACGGAATCCTTTTTGGCTACTGTAATATGTAGGAGCGAATTCAAGCAAAATGTTGGCCAAACCTCGTAATATGTCATTTTCGATGCGACCGATGAAAAGGTTCCGCAGTAAATTCATAATGTTATGCAGATTGGTGAATGGCTGTGTCGTTCCTTGCTGTAATAAAATTTGGCATCACTTTGTGTAACGTCACTTTTCACATGTTCTGCTTTGCACTGATGTTCCAGCATGAATCTTCGTATGATTTTTCCCCCTCTGTTTTATAAAATTTGTACCAGATCTTTGAATTAGATTTTCTTCAGTCGAAAACGTAATCGAACGTCATTGCTATGACGACTGCGCATGATAAAATCTTTACGGCTTCTTTCAATAAAGATTCGTGTTATCACTTCCTCCAAGTCACTCAGTCATTTGATTATTAATGCCCATAACGCAGTTAATGCCCATTACCCAGTTTAAACGTATTACTCGAGTGCTTTATACGGTACTTTATTATTTTGCATTAATAATTACCTATCGAAGTCAAATTTGTATGTGCTTCTTGTGAATGTAACTAACACGTAAATTACCACGTATTCATGTACTGTATGTACTTCAGCAATAAGATTTGATTAACGGGTGGAGTCAGGTTTAGGTAAAGGTCTGTGTAGCAAATACTTCAACCGAACAACATTGAACTTAACGGTATGACTTTCAGGCTGCAACGTTAATGCAACGGATGAAGTTCGTGAAAAAGCTACGAAGGCGACAAATTGAAAAATCACAAGTTGAAAACATATGTCATGTGTTAACACATCACGCAATATTGTCCCTAAGGTTAATGATCATGTCATCTATTTTTGGAAACGCAATTAAAATCAGATGAAAGTGATTCAAAGAAAGTATTAATAGCCAGTTATTAGTGATAGACTGTACATGATTTGATGGCAAGACACAAGAAATGGTGAAATAGAGGAAGAAAAATATGAAGATTGAATTAAAAATGAAATGGTTGATCTGTCCGTTCGTCCATTCGTGCATCAACCGATTCTTCCATCGATTCGTCCGTTTTTTCATTCACCTGTACGACCTGCTTCCGTTTTTCACGAATCGGACTGTATTTTAAGACCTGTCAGGGCCAATTAACCTACCGACCTGGCTTTTGGTTCCCCCTTGACCACCTTCTCTGTGGTCCTGCTATCAGAGTCAGTTTTCGGTATCTTCCCTTTGTATCTCATTCGTATTCAGATAGTTTGTTACGGCACACTGGTAGAGGTTGAGTTCATATTCAGGAGATGCCAGTTTCGAGGCCGCTTTAAGGACAGTCAGTCTTTGTCTTAACCGCGAGTTTCCTTGAGCAAAGAATTAACCACAAGTTGCTTAGGTGTGATTGAGAAACTGGTATCAGGTCGTTGAATTAACGTGTAACAGGGACAGCATCACATTTCTGTCTGGTCATGCCGGAATGGACGAGGCGAGGTGTGTTTCCATACTTTCTGAGCGAACGCCCCTTGTGGGTGCACTACACCTTGACCGCCCATCCGATAGCCGACTGTTCATTGTAATAATCAGCGCAATGTATGTCCCAAATTTCTATGTTCTTTCTCGAAAATTCTATTTACGATATATTCATACACGACGCAAACAAATTGGTCATTCGAGTAGCTAACCAGTGCCAACGTTTCGTCTCGTGTTTCATTGACCTTCTTCAGGATGGACTGTGTTGATTTCCGCAATTCGTTTTTTAGTTTGCAGCTCAAAGACAGGGTAATGACATTGTGCATTACACCTCCAGATCAAGGTTTCATGGCGTATTACCCCCCCCCCCTTACATGGAACAAATTTTGATGCTATGTGGTGGTGTACAAGGAGAGCAGTTCATGAAACAACTTTCCAATAGGCCCGAGCTGGCCCTAGCTAATGAATTGATAAGAAATACATTTGGCAGTTTAGGTGCTCAAAGACTATGGACCTGTGGCCTTTTCAGATAACCCTTAAGTAACTAGAAACTAGGAGCGGTGCACTGCGTCGTGAAATCTGGACGTTATGAGTTATGAGAAGTTATTTGTTATCTTATATGTTCAGGCTTACGAACGAACTTTGATGTAACCGCATCTCTGCAGATATTCAAATCTTGACTTGGGTGGGACCAGTTACGAGAGCTTGAATGTTCGACAAGGACGCCGGAAGCAAAGGCAAAATCTGTAGAGACAAATACTTCTTACTAAGATGAATCAAGCGAACGGTGAATGCAACTTAGAAGCGATGGAAAAGCAAAAGTCGCTGTGAACCGCTTTGTCAACGCCTGTCAAGATTATCGAATACGAAGCAGTTTGTCTTCCTGACTTGTAATTTTACTGTAGCGGATTGCTTGACTTTTCATGCATATCAGTGAATGAATCAGCGATTTTAGATATTTGCTTTCAAAAGACGGTTTCAAATTCAAGACAAAAATTAGCCTCATCGCCTATGAAGTTGACCAGTTGTTTATCAGTTAAGATATTTTTACCCTCCTGCAGCGTCAAATTTCTGTTAATTATTACAGATACGTGAAAACAGCCTATACAATCGAATCCATCTTCAGTATCCCTTGGAATTTCACTAAAGAAGAAAGCACGATCGATTTTGCACCCCTGAGCTTCTAGCTATCCATTAAGTGTGAAAGTTTGCTATGAAACCCAGTGGTAGGCTAACAAGGCAGGAATACGAATGTTATCATTGGAGGTCAGGACTCCCAAGTCATGTGATGAGTTTTATACGGACAGGTACAGTAGGTTTGATAGTAAATCTTTGCACTGTCGAGTGATCTACATACTGCTTGAAATTATCTATCCAGCAGTCAGTATATTTCAACGAATAATTTGTAATAATGATCTTAGTGTTTTATAATTTTTGTGTGTTAGCTTACTGTGACACCTACGATCTAACCCATATGCGTGAGAAGTCACTGAAACGCAAACGGCCGTCTGCCGGGTTTCACTGTGCGTTCCATATGTGGGACGCCGCGAGGGCTGCAACGGTTTGATGCGAGGAGGTGACCGTTTTGCGTTCCCGTGCTTCGGCCCTTATGAAATGTCTGACAGAACGAAGAAAGAAGTGGAGCCAGATGGCACGGAAACTCCGTCGTTGTTTTGATTTCATCATACTTTGATTCATAGGGTAGAGGCCAAGGTGTTTTACCTTGCACAACGTCTTCTGGTCTGTAATGATTCGGGTGCTGTCCTTTGTACGTTGTTGTTCATCCATCATCGTCTTGCTCTTCATTTGGTCTTTGGACTCAGCAGAGTTCTATTCTCTGGTTTTGGTTAATGCCGTGTGGCGAAAAGGTTGTACCTGACCACCTCTTCCATCCTCTGGCGCAAAGCCTAGATGATTGGACTAGATGGGGACGCAGATATGCTTATACCAGGGCAGAAATGCGTGCATTGTGTATAAGTTCCCAGATGACGTTTTATGCAGAAGCTCTAACGCTTATAAGGAACTTCTTGGGGAACTTTGCTGAAGGACCTGACTGCATCTAGTGCAGTTTATTGCACTGAACAATCGCCGTCGTTTTTGCTTACTTCTTATATGG